TGCTGTGAGGCGTCGATGCTAACCACTGAGCCGTTGTGCAGCCATAAGCAGCAATTCATTATTTCTTATTGTATTTTGTTATGATTATACCATTTGAAAAAAACTTTACTAAATTGGTACAAATGTTATACTTTGTACAATATTTACAGTTCAGTAAGAGTTTGATGATCTTTGATCGACTCCTTTAGACAGAACTGATTTGCACCTGCCCAGAAGAGGTGTTGCCTCTTGTTGAGTTGTTTTTATGAATAAAGAGTAAAGCTTTGTTTATACTTCATGCAAGATGTGCGGCTGCGGCCCAGCGATGACGTAAATGCATGTGTGTCACCGACAGCATTGAGTGTTTATACTGGGAAAAGACGTGGGGGATACATTTTAGTAATCCCTCCCTCTGCCCTCCCACTGCATACATCACACGCATAGCTTAGCATGCTGCTAGCTGCTAGTTGCAAGTTTAGCTTGTGCGGGAGATGCAGGAGATGGATTATGAAAAACACTTCTCCTATATTCAAATGTCCGCTGCTTGTTTCGACAAACTTGCCCACCGGATTTTATTTTATTTATTTTTTGGCCACTCGATCTCCCCTAACCTTCAGCATGCACCGACGCAGTAGAGGAGTCACAAAAGGTTGTACCTCCGGACCGCCTCGGTGAGTTTCTCTTCGAAACTATCCATGTTTAGAAAAAAAACTGCTTCTGGTAGCGAGTAGCGGTGTCACACAGCACAAAAATGCCCACAAACTTTAAACCAATCACACACTCCGAGCCGCATCCTCCGTGTCTTGGAGTGCTGACTGGGGGCATTGTATAGGACAGCTGTCACCGGGGGATCACAGCGGGAGTGCAGACRGAAGTTGCGCAACTGTTTWTCACTGAGCGGGGGGTAAAAGACGTGCGACAAGAAGTATAAACCAGCCTTAAGAGAAAAGACGTCGGTTACGTCTCTGTTCTTCATTTTAGCTTAAAAAGTTACCACCTACCTCTCTGTTGTGTTTGCATTAGTCTGAAAAACCACACCGTTATGCTTCGTAGAAGTCACGTTTACTCAACTGCCCTCAAACATACCAAACCCAAAACATTTAGGACCCACTGTCGTAAAACGCTGCAGCGACTCTTAGAGGTACAGAAACTGTTACCTGCAATGCATAACACAAAGAGTATTAATGAACATAACATTTCCCCCTCACACACCCCTTAAGAACATAACATGTACCTCACTGCCCAACGTCACTATCACACTGTCACCCGCAGAGGCTCTGACCAAAAGGATTGCAGTTTATTTCTTCGGTGAAGCCGTTTGATCCTGACCYAATCTCCTGCAGTAAGTGAGGGGTTCTGCACTTTTTGCATGACATCAAATCGCTCTTTCATCCGTGCCTGTGAATCCATCACTCGAGTTCTAGCCTTCTGGACTCCTGGGCTCCTATGTGCAGGGGCTGGCTCCACTCTCAGGCAGTCCAATGTTCCTGTCCAATCGTGAGTAATGCAGGTGACACTCCTGTGGTGGAAGGCTTGGATGCCCGGATGGTCAGGAGTGTTTGATTTAGGGCATCACTGAAGGTTTTCCCTTCCTCCAGACATRTTCTGATCCCATTTTTGAGAGTTTTGTCCAGTCTTTCATTGCTTTCTGATATATACTGCTGTTTTGATGTGCTTGATGGACCACCAATGAGAGAAAGTCTGTGAACTCCGCAGAAACAGAGTTCCATTRTCAGTGGTAACAACACCAGGAAGGTCCCAGCAGCCAAACAGACTGTCTAGGCAGTTGATGATGGAGTGTGTAGTGATGGAGCTCAGTGGACAAACCTCTGGCCACTTTGAGTGGAGATCGTGCACAACCAGCAGATAGTGGGCGTGAGCAGGTGCCCCATGAAGCTCTYCACACAGGTCRACCTGAATGTGTTCCCAAGGTGTTGACRGCCAAGGTGTTGGAGTAAGAGGGGCTGTGGCAGGCTGGCCAGTTTTTCCACTCAGAAGACAGCATGCACAGTTTAATACCAGCTCCCCAACATCAGAGTCTATGTGGGGCCACCACACCGTGTCACGGCAGCGCTGCTTCACCTTGATGACCCCCAGGTGACCGTCATGCACCATGTACAGTACTCTGGACCTGAGAGTCTCGGGGATAACTGCCCAGTGTCCACGAGCTAGGCACACCGTTMCCCAGCAGGAGAGTTCATTTCGAAATCGGAAGTAGGGAAGCAGCCTGTCATCCACTTTGGTTGGCCAACCATTCTGCACAAAGGCTCAAAGAGTTATGAGAGTCTCATCCTCAGCTGAGGCCTGCTGCAGCTCCTCCAGGGTGATCACTGAGCTGAAGGGTCAATGCAGGACGTGAACCCAGTCTTTGTCACTCTCTGTGTCCAATGCCACCCCACCCAACTGCTTCATCACTGACATTGCTCTCGACAGGAGGTCAGCCACCATTTTACCACCTGGCATAAACTCCAGACTGAAATTGTACTGGTTCAGCCTGTCAGCCCAACGTAGCAGTCTCATAGGTCTGTGTCCATAGCCTTGGGTTGCCAACAGTGCCGTCAGTGCTTGGTGATCCRTGCAGATTGTAAAAGGACTCCCGTATAGGTAAACATGCCAGTGTTCGCACACCCAAAGGCAGGCTAGCACCTCCCTCTCCCCCACCGAATACTTTTGCTCCGCTGGAGTCAGAGCACGTGAGGCAAAGGCCACCGGGCGTTCCATCCCATCTTGAGTCTGAGAGAGCACCGCACCCAGTGCCACCCCAGAGGCATCRCAGGTGACAATGGTGGGGGCAGTCAGGCTGAGATGGGTAAACGTAGGTGGTAAAGTTAGCTGCTRTTTGATGAGTTGCACAGCTGCATATCACACTCATGTCCAGTCCCAAGTTACCCCTTTTTTTCAGCAATCAGCACAAGGGGGCTGTTGAGTCAGAATAGTGTGGCAAAAATCTAAGRTAGTAGGCGGCCATTCCTAGGAAGGAATACAGCTGGGATGGAGACTGTGGGTATGGCAGGGACAAAATGGCCTCCGTATGGGACATAATTGGGGCAATACCTTGCTTTGAGAGCCTTAACTCCAGGAACTCCACCTCCTTGACCCCAAACATGAATTGTTGTTCAAAATACTGGAAAACCTGCTTCAAACTGGTGTTGTGCAGAGCAACGGAGGGTGCGTGCACCACCACATCATCCAGGTATATGGGGACGCCTTGAATACCCACTAGAATGAATGACATTATTTTCTGAAAACAGTTCGGGGCTGATGACAGTCCAAATGCCATGCGTTTAAACCTGAAAACCCCCACATGTGTGACAAACGCTGTAAAGTCCATACAGGTAGGAGCCAGCCAGACCTACAGATATCCCTTTYGTAGGTCCATCTTGCTGAACACAGTGGAGCCATGGAAGTGGCTGGTGAGCTCTTCAGCCGTGGGTAGAGGATACCTATCAGGTATGATAGCTTTTTTCACATCTGTAAGGTCAACACAAAGTTGCAGTCTGCCCCACTTTTTCTTGGCTATCGCAAGGTTTGACACCCATGGTGAGGTGTTAACTGGCCCAATCAGTGTTCATGCTTTGGACATGCCTACTCTTGTGACACGCCCACTTTGAGTTTGCAGAGAACCCCTTCTCCTCCTCCCAGCTGCCTCCACAGCCTCTGTGTGATGGACCAACGGCGGCGATGACATCACAGGCTCGTGCACGGCGCGGCCGAACTTGTGCACCTCCATTAGAGCTGTTTCTATCTGCTTTCCTAACAGTAAAGCGTCCACCAGCGTCATGGAGTCTGGCTCTAGTAGAAGACTTTCCCTTAACTGGTTACATCACATTTTCTCGATGAGTTGATCGACAATAAGTYCATCCTCCAAAGCACCGAAGTCACAAAACTTTGCCAACTCACGTAAAGCTGAAGCATAGTGAGCCACAGTCTCGCCCGGCCGTTGGGTTTTCTGAGAAAACTCAAAACGGTGCATCCGCCGGCTCYGCCCGGTGCTAAAGTGAGCCTTTAGGGCAGCCATAGCTGTGGCATATTTGTCATCCAAGAACATCTGCGTAGCAAATATTTGTTGACCCTCTTGGCCGAGACAATGGTGCAGGAGTGCGCACTTCCTTGCTTCCGCCAAGTCCGTTCATCCCAAGGCCAGTAAATAATCTTCAAACAAGATCAACATCTGTCTCAGGGAACAGGAGGGTCACCGGGAACAGGCAGGAAAGGCTGCAGAGGTGGTAAAACAAGTTCAGACATCCTCGTCGCCAAATTGTTGTGTTTGCATTAGTCTGAAAAACCACAGCATAATGCTTTGTAGAATCACTCAACTGCCCTCAACCATACAAAACCCTAAATATTTACGACCCACTGTCGTAAAACGCTGCTGCGACTCTTAAAGGTACAGAACCTATAAGTGCATAACACAAAGAGTATTAATGAACATAAYGCTTTCCTAGCTCACCGGTGCGGAGGGCACAACATGAGCGTCAGCTACTACCACACAGTTCTAACTCACTACCTATAAAACTGACTGAGCTACAGATGTTCTTCTCTTTGTTAAGRCTGATTAGTTGTGGCAGCCATCTTCAATTGGATTGACTCCAAACGTTAATACACTCCTGACATTCACAAAGACACATACAGTCAGAAACAACTTTTGTCTTTCAGCAGTGGGTGATGGTAAATGGTGGCTTCATTTTTTTGCACAAGACTGCATTAATTGGAGCATGTTGGACCTAAAACAGCTTTTATCTGCAAAAGTAAGAACGTCTGTTATTTTCTTCTTCCTAGTTCTGTTCCAGGCCAGAATGATTGCATTGTCTTCAACAACCTGGAGCATTTTCTGCAGAAAACTGCTACTGTGTTTCTGCACCATGAAGCCGTTAAGAGGAATTTTAAGGGGAATAAAGGACTGTTGTTGAGGAGGGAGAGGCTCTTCGACACATATTAAGAACAGTAAGGCCTCTGACTCTGCTTGCCCTATACAAAAAAAACAACAAAAAAAAAAAACAAAGAGGTTTTGGTGTTGTTACCTTCAACCAGTCGTTGGACTTCTTTCCTGTCTTCGGTGATGTAAAGGGTGGTAATCAGGAAGAACATGCCACCCAGGATCCCAACGAATGGGCAGAGAATCAGGCTGTACTTCAGACTGTGGAAACTCCAGTGGTGGGTTTCAGGTTTAGATGAGCGTATGGCATCAGAGATCTGCCAGTGCAGATGGAAAAAAAAACATTATAGATACCAAAACAATTCCCTAAAAATTGTGTAAAATTGTAAAGATCTTAATGTCCCATGTTTTCCTAACAGAGCACTTTATATATATATATNAATAATAATAATAATAAAGAGAAACAGGAAACCAATAATAACCAACCACTGAATAAATCACATTGTCTCAGACAGTGGAAAGCAAACAGAAGATTGTTTCTTACATAAGTGGCTGGAATGCTTGAGGATGCCACAAAAATGATAATGAAGAGGCAGGGGACTGATCCCAGCATGCCCGCTGCACAGATGAGAGGGTCCGCTTGTGGAAACTTGCCCACTAAGTGTCTGGATAAGGTGGTGCCCAGAGCCCCGCCCAGAATGCCGGTCACAATGGTCACGGCGCCAAAGACAAAACTGTGGAGCATGGAAGAGCATGACTTCTGATCTCACCGAGGCTGCAGAGAGTGAAAATAAAAGCAGGTCAAAGGTCATGCTGCACCTGTCTGTGGAGTCACAGGTGTCTCCGCTGCATGAAGCTCGGAGGCCCTGGGTGACATGAGCTCGGGACAGGAAGGTGGGCAGCCAGAAGGCCAAGGCTCCAGTGAGGAAGGCCAGAGCAGTGACTCCCAGAGACGACCAGACGTAACTTTTACTGCATCAGAGATAAAAACATCAAAGAATCACCCATCTGTGTGTGAAATTAAAGTAAACTATTACATAACTTATTAATCATAAAGCTTTAAAATGATGCTATATATATATATATATATATAGGCTGTTTGTTTCTAAAGCCTGCAGGGTGGAAAGCAGCTAAAAGAAAGTGATTTTTTTTCTCACCACTCCTAACAAGTAAGGACTTCCAGCGTCTCCGAGCAGATGACCGACTGTGATCTGCAGAGCCTCGGCTGTTGCCCTTCTCGTTGGTACAACGACGTACTGAAAAAAAATACAAGTAKCTTTCACCAGACTGATTCATATAATCAGTTTTAAAAACACCATTCAGACTCACCAGTAATATATCAGCCAGGACAACCCAGTTCAACGAGAGCAACAGCTCACCCAGGAAAATGAACACCTGAAACAAGACGTTGGGTGGGACTTCTTTTTATTTCCACGTCAGATAATATTAGGTACGTTTGTCTGTTAGTAAAATATCTCAAAAACAACAAAACAAATGACATTATTGAATAGACATCTATCACTGCTTTCAGCTTCAGAGTTTCACCAATTCAAGATTGATTCCAACCCAGAAAATGACTCCAACTCGTGAAATTTTACAGCTACTGAGCTGAAATGAGATGTTTGAAGCTGGTTGGTTTTCAAAATTATGGGTCATCATTTTTTTTTTATTTGTTTAACTTGTTTGGAACTTTTCTTTTGATGTGACTAAATTTAAAAAATCATTCATTAACACACATTTGGAATATTGTGAAATAATTTTCAATTTTTAAATAATTGCTTGAAGCACATTTTCAGAGAACCTGTAATACTGTATTTAGAAAGCACTTTTACACATACACAAAAATCAAATCAAACTAGACAAGGGTTTTTACGATGTAAAAACAAGTGTGCATTGCCATGTAGCATGTCATTGCAGCATGGCTTTGCCTGCAGCATTGGACTT